GGAACTGGTTGCTTTGCATTGGGACACATTAGGAAAAAGCCTGAAGGATATTTCAGAAATCTTCAAGGCCTCCCCTTCTGTCACAGGCCTAAGGATTTTCCAGGGCAAAATCACTCCATGAAACCCCGGGGTGTTCTGAACTGGCTCACTGCCTCAGCCCAGGGCTGCCCTGAGATTCCGACTGACAAAGCACTCCACAACCACAGTTTCCGTGATGCAAGCAGACATAGGTGTGGCTGTACCAGGCAGACCTTAATGTCCTTAAAGAGATCATTCTGCAGGTGGCTTCCACCAACACCTCAAAGGAAAGTCTGGGAGGCCAGGGTTGGAAGTCCTGGTGGGACAACCTGCAGTGAAGCTGTGAGAGTGGAGTGGTAGAGGAGGTATCAGGAAAGCAGGTGTCAGTAACATGAACCACCCCCTATGGAAGGCTGCAAGCAGTAGGCATGTGGGTAGCAACCCCCAAAGCACTGGGGTTGGGCTTTCCAAGAAGGCTGGAAGGCCCACTGGTTGCTACAATGTGCACAAGATGCCCAGCTTTGAGCTTTAGCCCCTAGGAGTATCACTCTTGCTTTGGGTTCATTGGTCCTTTCATCTTGTCCACGCCTCCCTTTTGGAATGGAAGTGTTTGCCCTGTCCCTATCCAGTTTTATCTTGGAACTATGTAACTTGACTTTAATTTTATCAAGCTCACAGTCTTGGATGAGGCTTTGAACTTGGACTTTTGAGTGGTGTTGGAATATATAAGACTTTGGGATCATGGAGGACATGACCTTGGGTGGCCAGGAGTGGTTTAAGTGTGTTCCCCCAGTTTCTTCCGTTTGAACACTTTTGGAGTGTGGCATGGTTAAAATATGTCTTTCCCTGGTGGAGTCCAGTGGGAGGTCATTAGATGAGTTGTAGGTATGCTGTAAAGCAGGGAGAACAGAAATACTCAAGGGATCTTGGATTGTCCTCAAGAGAGGGGTGTTATGAAAGCCTGACTCCACCTGGCTCTCTAGCTTCCTGCACAAGGATAGGATCTCCTCGTGCAGCACACTTTACTTTTGCTAGCACTGGGCTCTGCCAAGAGCAAGCACCAGGCTGTTTGGGACTTTCAGCCTCCAAAACCATGAGTTAGTGTGCCTCCGGTATTTTGTTATGAAAGATGCCTGCCTCAGACAGCACGCATATCATGTAGTTTTTACATAATGAGTGTTACTTCTCAGTTGAGCCAAACATGCACTCGTTTCTCTTTGCATAATTCTAGGGGAAGCCACACATTAGTATATGCATATATTCAAATGTGGCAACATTTACTAAAATTAAATAATAATATTGCAAAATGGTAGCCATAAAGTCATAACAAAATGAAACACAATTCTGATTTTTCCATTGGCACCTAAGTGCACATTGAATGTTGAATTGCTAATATGTTTATTTTATTGAAAAATTAATAAGGTATAATTAGATCATCAAATATTAAAAAATGTTAACCTTTTAAAAATAACTTTTGTTTAAGGTTGATATCCATAGCCATAATTTACAGTTTGCATCATAATTCTAAGAGGTAATTTAGAATCATTTGGGAAGAAATCACTCAACTATAGGAAATATTTTTAGTTTTCTGGTTTGAAATTTTTAATTTACATTGTGATGAATGAATACACTCAAAATTTGGTGTGATTTGAATACAAAATGAGTCCTGCAGGTCGGTATTGTCTAACAGAACCTTTGGCGGTGATGAGAATGTTCTGGATCTGTGCTTCCCTCCACAGCAGTTTGAAATTCCTGGGGCTACTGAGCACTAGATGCAGATCTACCGCCACAGAGGCCCAAAACCCAACCAGGAGGAGCTGGGAGCTACTGTACACGCGGGCGCTTCAACAACTCTAGGAAAACAGATGCTTATGGATGCAAAACAAAAATGAAATATTACAGGCAAATTTTACATAAATACATACACATTATTCACAAATTTCTGAAGATCTCTTGGTTGGCATGAATTTCACTTTCTTGACACCAAAACAAATGTATCTTTTGGTTCCATTTTTTTTTTTTTTATCACAAACTCTGAATCGCTGTTGTATGGTAGTTTACTATCTTGATGACTAACTGAACAGTTTAGACACAGACTTTCCATTTGTGCTCTCAAGCCAGTAGGGGTTGGCCTGACAGCACCCCTAACTGATCAGCCACTTTGCAAAAGACACTGTGCCCAGAGAAACAGGAGGGCCATGAGGTTAGCCTGAAATGAGAAATCTCCACTGCTGAACAAACTTGTCAAAGCCAGGGTCCCCCTAGGATTCCAACATCTTTTCTTCCTTAGACAAAGTCCCACCTAGCCATTTGCAACACAGGCCTTCCAATGGGCAGCTTAGCTCACTTACCTGCCAGAGGGAAGAAATACCTAGAACTAGCTAGAAATGGTGAGGAGTGTGGGGCAAAACCCCATCAACTTTTAAAATGCAGAGCATTGCTGTGGTAGGTATTCCTGCAGGAATACCTGGAGGCCACAGCTGCCTCCACTGGGGTGGTTTAAGTGAGGGATGCCAGGGACCTCCACTGCCCTAAACAGTTAGAGTCCCAGGTAGCAGGGACAGGCCCTACCCCTCAGCAGCCTTCCTCATCTCCTCAGCCGGGGATGCTCCAGCCCTGAGGCTGCTACACCTTTGATACCCAGGAGATGCCTGGGGCGATTGAGCCTGGTTGACCACACCTGTTCTTTATGGATTCACTTTATGGACCACACCTGTCTTTCATGGATTCACTTTCTCACTGTTACTTCCAGTGCCTGGGTGACCGTGCCTAAGGGAACCTGCCATCCAGCTCAGGGCAAAGAGGCGATTAGCTGTACAACGAACACACTTTACAAATAAAAACCTCACCCTCCGTTTAACTTCTTGCCCTAACTTAAAGAAGTTGCCAGCAAAGAGTCTAGAAGTCTTTTGCCTCCTTATTCTGGTTTGCATCCCTGTTCTAGCACAGAACCCCACTGGAGCACCTACATTCTTTTAAAGGAACACCCGAGGGCCCCAAGATCGTGTGGGCTTTCACGAACCTGGAAAGCCCAGGGAGCCGAGTGGACCATTCTCACCTGTTCATCTTGGTGAGGCAGGAGGCTCTCTTGACTCCCTAAGGAGACTTCAGATTCTCACTTTAAAAAAAATTTAATATATACACATATATTTTGCAATCAAAGATAAGACTCAACAAGTATATACTTGGAAGAAACAGTGGAAGATGTACCAAGAAGTAAATGATGACCAGAACAGGTCTGAAAAGGCTCTAGGAAGTGGAATTCCTGAATGGCTCTAGGAAGAGTGATGTTTGTAATTGCCCTTCAGAGTCCCCACCTTGGCCCGGAGAGCTCTGTTCACTCCTGGGTCCCGGGGAGGAGGGAAAGGCTGGGCTGGGCAGAGGTCTCCCCTGCAGGACAGCCGCGGGCACCCTCATGCCAAAGACGTGCCTTCTCACCAGCTTCGCTGCGAGAGAACACCGTGTTGCCAGCTTCTCCAGGAACCACCGGCTCGCTGCACGCAGTTAGCTAGGCCACGAGCCTACAACTGCCTGGTGCATATTTTGAGCGAGATCGGAGTGAGGAGAATCACTTTAAAAAAAATTTTTTTTTAAACAATTAAAAGCTAAAATGTTACGGAATCACTGAAAACTGCTTGGTTCGTTTGAATGAAACAGTTCCCGCAAAGCGAAAGTCAAAGACACTAGCAGACACCATTCGCTCCACTCGTACGTCTCTCCTTCTCCCGCACTTCTGCACCAGAAGACGAGCAATCCCGGCTGAGGTCCCAAGCCCCGTTCCCGGGCGGCCTCCGCCTGGCCGGCGCTGCCCGAGGCACCACGCAGCGGCGGGCGCAGCGGCGCGCCGGGCGTCCCGGGTGCCGGGCAGCTCGGGGAGCGCGGCGGGTCGAGCCCGTGGAGCCTGCCGAGCGGGGGGCCGCCCCTTCTCCCGGGGCCCGCCAACTTCGTCCCACCCGCCCGGGAGCCCCGCAGTCCTTTTGGGAGCCCCTAGCGTTCGCCTAGTCCGTCTTTCCCGCGGCCGCGAAGGGAAGCGGGTGGTGGTGGCCTTGCGAGTGCGGGTGCGGCTGGCCGTGTTCGCCGCCCGGGCTCCGGCGGGGCGCCGGGTGGCGGAGACGGGAGCCGCCCGGGCTGGCCGCGCTCCGCCGAGGGGAGAGAGGTGGGGACTTGCAGGCCGCGGAGGCCCGGCCCCGCCGTCCGCGCTGCTCACAAACTCCTGGCGCCTGGCGACCCGGGACAAACTTCTGGCGGAGGAGCAGCCCCTGCTCACCACACGCCGCCCTCCTCCGAAGCCAGTCCTCCCCGCCACTAAAAGAGAAGACGCGGCCCGGGGGGTCAGCACCGAGAGAGGGGGACGGCAAGCCCGGGGGCCGCTCCTCCTCCTCTTCCTCCTCCTCCTCCTCACGGGGGTCACGCCCGCAGCCAGCGCCGCCGCCTGAGGCGCCTGAGGTGGCCGCGTCCCCGGCCGAGCTCCGCCAGGCGCCCGGACGCAGGCCGGCGGGGGCGCGCGAGCTCACGCCCTCTAGCGGGCCGCGGCGGCGCCGGGTGACCGTGACGTGGGCGCTCCCTTCAGCCGGCCTGCGGGGCACCGCCAGTCAGTCTGGGAGCAAGAGCCCCGCGCGCGCAGGCGGCGCGGGCTCGGCCATTGGCGCGCCGCCGCTGGCGCTGGGCTCGCGGCTTGCCGGTGGAGAGGCGGCGGGCAGGACGCGCGCGGCCACGGCCACGCCACGGCCGGCGCCGGAGGCTCGGGTCCCGAGCAGGGTGGTGGAAGAAGAGCGGCGGCGGTGGCGGCGGACGCCGGAACAACCGAGGGAGGATATTTTTTTTGGGGGGGGGAGGCTCTGCGGACGCGCCCTCCGCTCTCTTCTCGGAGCGGCGGCGCCAAACGGCGGAGTGGGGGGCCGGGGACAAGGGAAGAGGACTCGGGACCTGTCCCTCCCCCGCAGCCCCGGAGCCGCCGGAGTTGTTCGGACTTGTGCAAACTGTTGCCACTTTGCGGGGCTGACTCCGGGTCTGGCCGTTGATCCTTCTGTCCTCACGGCCGTACAGCCAAAGCTACCGTCTCGCCTTCGCCGCTGGGGATCGGCCCGGCGCGCACTCGGCAGCACCATGAGACTTGGGACTTGCCTGGCGACTTTGGCCGGACTTTTGCTAACTGCAGCGGGGGACACGTTTTCAGGTAAGCGTGGGGGACGCTCGCTGCCGGCTCTTGGAGCGCCCGGGCGGGAACCGGCTCCGTGGACTCCAGCAGCTCCCAAGTGGCAGAGCCCGAGGCGGGCATCGGAGAGGGCAAAGGGGACTCTCCTGTCCGGTAGCCGGGCGCTGGCAACTAGGGACCGGAGAGGCGGCTGGGAGTCAGGCCCTCAGGCAACCAGAGCAAAGGAGCCCCGAGTGCAGATCCAAGCTCGGCCCTTGTCCTTCCGTTCCGCGGCCTGGGCTTGGGGTTGAGGTTGTGCAGCCGCACAGGAACAACAGGGGAAAAAAAAAAAACTTTGCGTGAAGTTCCCAGCTGCAAGCCGCCCGGCGTGGGCGCTGCGCTGTTCCCCCGCGACCCCTGAAGAGCGCTGGGCTGGGGTCACCCGGCCCAACTGAGCCCGCGACGATCGCCTGGACCCCCGTGGGCAGCACCACCGGCAGTGCTGTCTCCCAATGCCCTGCCCTCCCGGGCGCCCCCTTTGCCGCGCGGCTGGTGACTTCGGCAGGTCCCCGGCGCCCTGCGCCGCCTCGGCAGAGTCCAGGCGGGCGTGCCTTACGGGTGCCAGCAGTAGCACCGGGTGGCCGCGGAGGAAGCACCCGGCCGCCAGGGCCCTGCGCCCCGGCCAGGCACCCCTTCCCACCCCCGGCCCTCTAGCGGAGCGCCGCGGCCAGTGGCACTTGTTGGCTCAGTCCGGCGGCCCGGATCCCAGGTGGGAAGGTGCGGGCTGACGGTGCGCCCATGAGCCTGCGTAGCCGCACGCGTGCCCAAGGCACCTGTGCCGCGGATCCCGGCGTGGTGTTGCACTTCAGCATCTGGCGGGGAGGGGGATGGCCCGCTTACTTGTTTATAAGATTAGTTTAAGTAAGGTTTACATACAACAAAGAGAGTGGACTTTCTCTCTCTCTCTCCTTTTTTTTTTCCCTTTAAATGAAACTCGGTATTGGGCTTGAAGCTTTGGCTGCAAAATAGGTTTCTGCGTTTGTTTGGGAAGCATGAGTAAGTGGGGCTTCTGAAAAAAAAATTGGCGAAGGGCTTTCATTTACCTAAGGAGCATACCTTAAACATTAGAGTTGTGTGGGCCCCTGGTGCATGGAAATGAATAGTCACACTTTTCTGGAACCCCCGGGGGGAGGCTTTGAATGTAGGTCTTCAGTTCACACTGATAGGGGAGTTTAGCGCGGGGAAGCAATGGAAATTGAAGTTAGCCCATTGCTGTGTGGTTTGAAGCCTTGAACTTCAACAGAGAGGCATCCTTTCCGCAAGTTTCCTATCTCCAGAACTGTCTTATGTTGCACGTGCTCAGAGGAGTTAGGGTGAGGATGCACCGTTGCCTGCCACACACACACACACGGATACAGATGTTGGTCTGCCTGCTTTCTGGAGAATACTGGGGCAGCCAACAGCTGCCAGTTTGGAAGCCTTGTGACTTGGTCGCATGAGAAGCCAAGAACGGGGACCGCGGTGATGGTTTTCTCTTTAATAAGATCCGTGACTCCCTGCTTGGGATTTGTTTAAACTGTGTCAAAACATTGTTGCGATGGATTTTTAAATCAAGTGCAAAGAGGTAGAAACAAATATTTGTGTAGTTTATTGAAAGCAGCGGTTCCTCACTACTGGGGAGGATTTCAGGCTGGGTGGTACTGGCTCGTGTCCTTGGGAAGGCTGATGTAAGTGAGCAGGAATAGGTCTGAAGTTTTGGAGGGAGTCTCTTTGTTGGAGATACCGGACATCAACTGAAATGAATTTCCTTTTTTTTTTTTTTTTTTATTGGAGAGCTGCAGTTACCCTGGTGGGTGGAGTGGGTAGAAGGGAAATGGAGGGCTCTCCAAGCCTTTGCTTAGAAATGTTGAAATTCTCAAAATTGAAAGTTGGCAAATTCCGTATGTGCAAGGATTGAATATTTTGCAGTTCATTGTGTATTTTTTTTCTGCTTTGCATTTTAGGTAGTACAAGTATGAAGCATTTTAATGCCTTAAAATGTACCTTTTTGGGGGAGGGGTTTGTAAAAGGCAGTTCTTTCACTTTTAGTGACACTGAAGCATCTACTTTTTAGGATTCTAGCAAAGATTGCATTAATTTCCTGCTCATAGAAAGGACAGACTGTAAGTTCCTTGAGGGTAAAATAAAAAAGTAAAATAAAAAAAGCAAAACAACATTTTTTTTTTCTTTTTTTCCCTTTCCTCACAAAATATGTAACCTAGAACGTGAGACCCCACAGGTCACTGTTGAGTGAATGACCAGTGTCAGTCATCATTTGCAGACTTCCAAACTGAAGTGGCAGGAAGGAGAGGGGACGGAACTATTTGTAAAAGTTCAGCTTGGTTTGCACTCTGGCCCTGTGCCCTCAGTCCTGAGGGTGTCTGTGGTCCGAGGAGGCCTTCTGTGGAGCTAAGACTTCTGTGTGTGCCTCCCTGCTCCTCCCCTTCCGCTTGGCTCCCCCGTGTCCTCCTTTGGAATAGGCTTGGAAAGAAGATGGTTCATTAATCATTTCTGGAGGTGGACTGCACGTCATTTGGATAGCAGACGTTGGAAGCCGAGACTGCTCAGTTTATTGGCAAAGAACGAGATTCTTGGCCCGTGGGGACTTGATTTAACCGATTATGGACAGTTTATTTTAAAAATGCTTTCCAACTTGAAAATCCAACTTGTTAGGTAAAATAGAGGAGGCCCGCATTCCTTCCAGACTTTTAATGTTCGTAAGCAGAACAAGAGAACTCAAGGGGTGGGTGTTTGGCGTAGTGGTCACGTGGGATCCCCGAATCCTGTAGCAGCGTACCTGGGTTTCCATCCAGCTCTGTTTGCAATCCCAGCTTCCTGCTGAAACCGTCTCAAGAAGGCAGCGTGATGCTCTTTGGGGAGAGCTGGACCGTGCTCTGCGATTCTGGGGCCTGCTGGACTGCCCTCAGCTGTTGCTGGCATTTGGGGAGTGAAGCAGCAGAGGCAAGAGCTGCCTCTTTGTAACTTTCAAATAAAAATGGGAGGAAAAATACGTTTTTAAAATAAGACATGAAAAAGAAAGTTGAATCATTTTATTTGCTTTTGCTTTAATTTTCTTTCCACCGTAAGAAGCCCATGAAGTGGCAACTTCCTGCTCTTTGACCCAGTTTCTTAAAAGCCAAGTTTAATAGGTATTATATCATCATGGGTTTAGTACTATATTTTTCAATATGGATAGGTTAAATTCTCTTAAGTTTTGGTGTGCAAGGATAAAACTAACAGACTTGGCTCTTTGCTTCAACCACAGTGTTTGGAGCAGACTAGACCTTAACGTAAGACTTGTGAGTTTGGGACTCCTAGAGAGCTTTATTTTTCAAAATAATCTTATGGGGATGTTTTGTGAAAGCTGTTAAATTGTGAATTAAGGTTGCAGTAATCATGTTAATTTATTGGTTTTGATAACTCAGCTCTGCTTAGGTAAGGTGTTGATTGTTGGGAAAGCTGAATAGAGCTGGTGTTGTGCTGTGTTGGAACTCTTGTAAGTGAAAGTATCTTAAGAAAGAGACTTTTCAAGGGCCCAGTCTGGTAGCCTAGCACCATGCCCATATGGGTGCCGGTTCTAATCCCAGCAGTCCCATTTCCCATCCAGCTCCCTGCTGGTGGCCTGGGAAAGCAGTCGAGGACGGGCCAAAGCCTTGGGATCCTGCATTTGTGTGGGAGACCTGGAAGAAGCTCCGGGCTCATGGCTTCGGATTGGTGCAGCTGCAGCTGATGTGGCTGCTTAGGGAGTGAATCATCAGATGGAAGATTGGAAGATTTTCCTCTCTGTAAAAAGAAAAAAAAAAAAGAAAAGAAAGAAAAAAACCCCAACTTTTCAAAAATTCTTTGCGGAGTGGGGATAGATTTGTTTCACAGTTTCTTTCTTCTCTTGCACATCATTGTACTAGTGACATTTGCATTTTTATAATGCTTTCAGTAGATAATTGATATAAAGAAAATATTTCAAGTTTAGATCAGTGAGCATGAAGAAAATATGGTAAAAATCACTGTCATTCTTCGTGTTGTGTGTATGTGAAGAACTGCTTGAGCAGAATAAATTGATCTGATCTGGAAAATTACAGGTTTTAGTCTCATGTTTTCTAAGGGTTATTTTAGTTTTCAGAAAAGAAGCTGTGACATACTGTGATATATGAGTAAGTGTACATATGTCTTAAGTAATTCTAAATAAGTTTTCTTAATGAATGAGCAATTCCAATGATGAGTTCAGATTATATAAACCTTATGTGAAATAAGCATACCTTTGGATTTGGGAAAAGCTGGGTTTAGAATTTAAGTATTTCTGGATTACTTATATAAAAACCAGTGGCTTTGTTTGATTTTTCATAGCATGTAATAATTCATACACCTCATTTGGCTATATATATCTTTTTATTAGAGAAACTGTATTTTGAGGTATTATTTCCTTTTGGTTTATGTTTTAGATATCATTAAGCCTGTATTAATATCCTAAAACAATGTGTTCAGCTGGTGGGACAGGCATTTTAATGAATTAGATAGTTCTTCAATAGTTTTTTAAATTTAGACATTTCTTGTCAGGGTAGTGTTCACCATGCATTTTATTCTAAGATTCTTTGAAAACCCATTTTTCTATAAACATTGCAGTTTCACATAATCCTGCACTTATTATCTGACTGCAACTGATGTGATGTGTAACTAAGTTCATTTTGTAAGCCAGGGACCAGTGAATTACTAGTGTTTCAATACTCACTAATGAAACATTATGAAAAGGTACAAAATAGCATAAACCATCCATTACAAGAAGAAGCAGGAGCTTCTCTGGTTCCGAAAATCCTGTGGTGGTTTGCAGTTTAGTCATCGGAAAGCATGCGTTTGCACTCCGAAAAAAAACAAGGCGGGCAGGGATGGGTGGGGAGCAGCAAGCTTCCTAGGCTGTAGTCCCACACACATCCCCATCGGCGGGGTGGCTGGGAAGCCAGGGTGTAATTAAGGGGCTGAGAGAGAAGCGAAGGAAGGAAGCAGTGTGG